CTATCCCATTAGATTCAATTCCATATTTAAGGACTGTCTGTCTACCCGGCTATTCTCCCTTAGGAAGTCACATGACTGTGATGGAGCAGAGGTAGATGCAGACTGGAAGTGACACAATAGGAAGCGTGCACTGGTATTTCATGTGATTTTACTGCGATTTTAAAGTTATTTCACTGCAAATATGGCTGCATAAATATAAAGGAGATTTAAAGGGACCGCAGGATACGACTCACAAGGAGGAGTCCGAGTGGGCAGGAGGCTTTGGTGTGTCTAAACAAAGGAACTGGGAGACCCTGGTGGCCGTATAAATATATGATCTGATATCTTATATTGGAGGTGAGAGTTCTAGGAGCACAGTTGTGGCATGTGTGGCATTTTATAGGAGTGGTCTACTACCAATGTGGGAAATTAATATCAGGAAACACTGAATTGAGTCACCATACACTTGATGCGATTTTGGTTTAAAGTAGAGACTGATTCGTGATTTCTTTGCACAGTGTTTGTATATACTGCATAATCTGTTTACACCATATTGGTAATAGTACTGTATGTATAAGCATTTGCTTGTATTTACTTTTATGATTTGACCATTGTGGAGATTACAGATGTGCATAGAGGAAAACTTTGTTCCATTTTGTTTCTGATTCGTTCGTTAAATTAATAATTTTGTTTCAACATATTCGCTATGTTAGCATGATTCGTTTTCAGAATTTGCTTCGTACATTCAGATTTGTTTTGTATATTCTTTTTTTTTTCAAATCAATTCTAAATTAAAATTTCAGAAGATGACTATATTAGTTCTATTCTATTTTTTTAATTCTATTCTATTATTTTATTTTCTATTATTTTATATTCCATTCTTTTCCTTTATTTCCTCTTCTAGTTTGTTTTATTCTATTCTATTCTATTCTATTCTATACCTTTATTTTCTATTCTATTCTGTTTTATACTCTTTTCTATTCGGTTTTATTCTATTCTATTATTTTCTATTTTATTCTATAAACCAGTCAAAGTAGGAAAAATTCACTTTTTATACCTTGCTGTATTTATTGCAATATGTTTCCATTACAAATCAAATTTCAAATTCTAATTCATTCTCAAATCCAAATTTGAATAATTAGTTTAATTATAAATTATTTCTGCTTCATTGAAATTCGCTACTATTGTGATTCGAAAATTTTGATACATCCGAATCATGAAAATTTTGTTACAATGATTTTGTTATTATGAATTTTGATTCGTAACAAAAAAATTGCACGTCTAGTGGTGATTGTTTTCTCTTATCTTTTATTGTGTATTCACATTATTTATGTATTTTACACAGATTGTTGAGTCATCTGGCATCTAAACAGCACAGCAGCACTATGTTTTGGGTATTTATCAATTTTAATTGCGAGAACACAATTGGTGTTAGCAGCAGCTGGATAAAGTGGTCAATTTGAGGTTTATATTCATTTCACACTTTATTGGTAGCGCAGGAGTTACACGTTTTAGAACTTTTCTAAAAGATTTGCTTTGAGATTTACGGTGTTCCTTTCTCATAGACACACAAGACTCCTCCACAGATATCATATGCAGCATCTCATAAATGTGCAGAAGCTACCAACACAAGAAAGGCTCAGAAGGATGATGCTGGCAAAATGTTGGTAAAATGAGAACTGTCTGATACATAATTCCTAGATGATGGCTCCTCTCAGCAGGTGTATCAGAATAAGCTTTTGGACTGTCTTCTCAGTCATATTTTAAAGCCCCAAGAAAACCTCTTCATTTCAAATACAGATTTATGACAGCCAGCCACATTCTTATAATAAACAAAGAAGCAGTCTATGGGAAACTTGGTTAACAGTTTCAGATGTCGAAGACAGTTTTTCAAATTAAAAAAAAAAAGTGGTACTGGTAACAAAATTCTGGTAGTCACATTACCTTCAACAGAATTTCTTATTTAGACTGTTGATATTCGGAATCATAAACATGACTTAACTAAAGCCAGACATCATTTTAATAAAACTAAAACATCAAGGTTCACAAAACATTTGTATCATATGCCACCATTTATCCCAAGAAATAATAATTACACATTACATTCACTCATTACTATATACAGTATATGCAGTAAGGGATATAATGATGTCAAACATTATCTGTCAAGTATGGCAAATTCCTTTTTTTTTTTTTTTACAAAATATATTTAAACAATACATCTGATAATCTGGTATTTTGTATATGAGCTTCCTATGTGCTATGGAAACCCAGACGTTATTTTAGTAAAACTAAAACATCTAGGTTTGCTCATAACACAACGTATACCACCATTTATCCCAAGGAATATTGATTTAAAATTATATTTACACATTCCAAGCATGGCAAATTTGTAAATTTTATAAATTATATTTAAACAATACATCTGGTATTTTATATATGTGTTTCCTATGTGCTATAGAAATGTGTTTCAGAAAGCAGAACATAAGCAGTAAAACAAATACTTATTATTACTTTGTTGCTTCTACTATTGTCACTGTAGATTATTTCATGTTTTTTATTATTTTTAAACAATTATGCCACTGTTTTAACCTTAATTTCATTCAAGCACATACTGCATCATGATAGATACTTGATAACTATGTCCGTTGTGATTTTCGGTTTTATTTGCAAGCAACATTTACATCATGGCCTACATCATGATCTACATCATGGCCAATACTGTTCATGTGAACATCAAATTTGGTGTATCTGATTCACTTGGAACAAGATATATACATTTATTATATACACAAACCAGTGCACAACTATTCTTCACAGATCTTCATATATTCACCAGAATCTTCCCAATAATAATGCGTGTTTTTTCATATAATCTTCTCTATCGCTTCTCTTGATCATCTACTTGACTGCTCCCAATCTCCAACACAAAAAACAAATATAGTGTAGTAATTCCACACATATTATGATATTATTATTATAATACAGGATTATATAGCTTCAACTGTTTGTGCAGTGCTTTGAAGGTAGACATTACAGTTACAAAACAATTTGGTCCAAGAGGAAACAGAGGGCCCTGCTCGTTAGAGCTTACAATCTAGGAGGAAGGGCTGAGTGATACAAAAGGTAATAGCTGTGGGGGGAAGAGCTGATGGAGGAAATATATGGTGGTTTACTAGGTAGAAGCAGGATAGACTTCTTTAAAGAGAAAGGTTTTCAGGGATCGTCTAAAGGTGGATAGATTAGGAGATAGCCGGACAGATTGGAGTAGGGAGTTCCATAGGATGGGAGAAGTTCTGGAGGCGAGCATGGGAGGAGGTTACACGGAAACTAGAGAGCAGAAGGTCTTGGGAGGATCGATGATACCCGTGTATAAATACAGAACACTTTCTGAGTTGTATCCACCACTATCCACACTGGTTACTATTACCCTTACAGGGTGAAAATGTGCATAAAACTCTCCATCAATATGACTTGTCCTCTTAATTTAAAGTGCAACCATGCACCATCCACCTACAATGTGCAAATGAATCCACTTGCTCTTCTCTTCCCCTTTAGGCATCCACAGTGTAATCTTCACTCTGTTTTCTCCTCACCCATTCATAAACTCTCAAACGCCGTATAAAAGCAAACATACGAGCCCGTAGTGCAGTAGTGTAAAATGACCAATTTATTGTTAAAATTGCGCTTACATGAAAGAAAAGGACAAACAACCTGTACCAAAATGGCCACCGTAGCACTTCCTGTTACGTCTGACGTCACATACGTTGTCAAATTTACTTCCTCATAGGCAGTAGACACATTTTTGCTTCTGCATAAATGTTTTTCTTAGATTTTTTTTGTATTTGATTGGGGTCAACACTGTATTGTATTGTATTGGTTGCCATTTTTTAAAATACAATTTTTAGATACAGTAATTACAGTCATCAATGGACCACTATTGTTTTATTTTTTGTAATAAACAGGAAACGTTTGGGGCAAGGTATATACACGGAACAGATTACACTGGCAGTGATGATTTATTGATTATTTAAATTGTAAATGGAACACTTTGGGGAACAAATAATAGTAATGATGTGAAAAATATAACATTTAATTGCTGAAAATATTCACACAACATTTAGAGAATATTGCAATGCTGAGAATTTCCCCTAGTGAGAAGATCCACCTGTATAAGTAATCTTTTCTTGGCTGGGACCTTACAACAGGCTTATATTTAGGGATAAATGAAGTATTTACATATATGAAAACATGCTATCCTGACATTAGTGTGGGACGATCCAACATCTTAACTGTCAGAGAAGAGAAGCAGTAAAAGTCTTCACCATAGTTATATTTTTAAATAGTACAAACTTATTGTACTCAAACTATTTTCTAGTTTACCATCAAATAAGCTTAGTCTGCTCAACACAAGCCTCAATAAATCGGCACAAACATGTAGACTTTTTGGAATAAAGCAATATACCAGTCAATGCACCTGCTTGTAAAACTAGACAATTATTCTGGTCAGTTTACATGTGAATACCTCAAAATGTAGAAATATAAACAAACATAAATAAATGCAGGGCTTTGAATGCACTGGAAAAATCTATGGAAGAATAATTAGTTAAAAAATGTTTTGAAGTAATAATTACTCATTAGGTAATAATTGTTCTTTATTTGATGTTCCCAACATTGGACATCAAATAAATAGCAACAAACTCCTATCAGCATGGCTTAAATACCAGGCAAAGATATGCAAACAGAGTTCAGGCATGTATCAGGAGGCATGGTTGTAACAGAGAAAGGTCTATAGGCTAGGAAAATGCAGTCATATGTATTGAGCTAAGGCATCTTTAGTTGCACATGAAGGATGTTTTGCTGCAAAGAAAAACTTCTTTACTGATATGTTGCTACATGAAACTTAAGGACTTTATCATCCTTATCCATCCAAAAATACAGGACTCAACACCGCTTAGCTGTTGTAGTTTTAGTGATTTGCTGAAACTCTATTTTACTAAATATATTGGTGAAGCAGTTGTCTATGTTTCTGAATATATTGACCATATACTAATACGATGATCTTTTGATCCAGCAGCCAGCAGTCGTTCTTCAGGTATAATATGGTCTGAAAAAGCCACACAGTGCACACTTGCTGAATGGTACTGGAGAACAGCTAATGGCTTCATCTTCTTCCATCCAAAAATGCGAACGCGGAAGTCCCAACCTGCAGTTGCCAGGATCTTCCTGTCTTGCCTCAATGCGACATCAGCAATGCCTGGATTGATGATTTCCTGGGCTTTACAGGTCTCAATATCAGAATAAAATGTTAAGGATCAAAAAGCTTAACACAATACTACATAGCAGTAATTAACTCAAAGATGTCATGTAAATCAGTATATGTTAACCATATAAGTAACAGCTTGTAATACCCCTTCATTACCACACTATTTTTCAATTTTCAGAGCTGACAATTACTGTCACTGTACCAAATTAATTTTATGTCAAGAAAGAGAAAAAAATAATAGAATGGACTATTAGGCATCATAAAGATATTCACACAGCACAAATAAAATAATTAAATCTTATTGAACAAACGTCATTACAAAACAAAGTCTATTATATATTTATGTCGTGTGTATTTTATAATAGTCTTTGTTTTTTAATTACTTTTGTGCAAGGAAAATTATTTTATTTGTGCTGTATGAATATCTTTACGGTGCCTAAAAAGTCAAATCCATTATTTTTTCTTTTTCTTGCATACCTGTTGAAGGATGTGGCAACGTGTTATTGAGGAGTATGGATTGACTATAGGCTTTAATATAATTTTATTTCATTTTTTGAGAAAGATATAGCTTTCTTTTTGTGATATTTAACCACTTCAATACCGGCACCTTTACCCCCTTCCTGCCCAGGCCAATTTTCAGTTTTCAGTGCTCTCACAATTGGAATGACAATTGCACGGTCATACAACGCTGTACCCAAATTCTAATTTTTTTCACACACAACTACAGGTTTCTTCTGGTGGTATTTAATCATCACTGGGTTTTTTATTATTTGCTAAATTAACAAAAAAATACTGAAAATTTTGAAAACCCCCCCCACATTTTTCTTTGTTTCTGTGGAGGGCCAATCTAATTTCTTGAGGCCCAAAAATGTCAGGACAGTACAGACATCACCCAAATGACCCCTTTTTGCAAAGTAGACAGACTGAGGTATGGCAAGTTTTTTGAAGTTGTAATGATTTGTCAGAATTTTTTTGGGAAAAATTAAATTAAATTTTTTTTTTCACAAATTTTTTCTTTTTTTTTTTTTTTTTTACTGCCACCAGTGCAGTACAGCTTCATCATATAGCTGGTATGGAAGTGATCAGGCACACTGACTGGTGAGAGTACGATAGGAAAAAAAAAACCATTAACATTTTTTTTGTATTAAATTTTTTTCTTTTTTCTTTACGATTTTTTTTCCATAACACACTGTGAACACTGTGTGTAGTATAATGTTACCCATAGTAACATTTAACAACTCTGGCGAAGTGATCAGTATTTTTTTTTTTTGCTTATAGCAAATCATTTCTTAGCTATAAACAAGCATTTAACTGAATGAAATCGATTCATTCAGGTTTTTGTTGTGATTAGCTGTGATTGGTCACAGCTTAACACATGGCACAGATGGGCTGTGATTTGCCTATTCTGTACATGTGATCACTGTGACCAATCACAGCTACTGACTCAATTGTATACAATGGATGGCATGAAAGGAAGCCATCCATTGTTTACAATTATCATGTGACCTGCTGTGATTAGTCACAGCGGTCATATGGTACCGGCAACGGCCCAGTACATAGATCTGTCATCAGGTGTGTCCGAGGTACATAGCCGGTGACAGATCTTGCCACAGCGCAGCCCCACGGTCACGCACGAGGCTCGATCTGGAAGGACGTCATATGACGCTCACCTGGATAGATAAGAGTCCCTACCAATAGAAAAATGACATCCTGCACGGCCTCAGGTAATAATCACTGGGTTTTTTTAAATTTTACTATACAAGGGAAAAAACACCAATCAAAATGCCAGGACAATACGAATGCCAGGACAGTACGAAATCCCCCCAAAATGGCCCCTTTTTGGTTCTCACTTTTGCCATGATTTTTTGGAAATGAAGAAGCATTCTGCTATTGAGAGGGCTAAGCACAGAGCTTGGGAATGGTGTACTAGACACATTAAAGTTCAGGTCATACACTGTGAAGGAGAAATTGAAGTGGTTAAGATAATAAACAAAATTAAAGCAATAATCCCCCTGCGCTTTATATGGACCTATAAACCTTAATAAGCTGCTAACACCCAATCCTATACCTATAGGTGCATAAACACAAGATACTTAAATAAAATGGTGTAACGCTAAAATAAGCGCCGATAGCATATGAACAAATATATAATCATATAAATGATAAATAAAATGGTGATTAGATCCTTCAGGGATACCGTAACAGGATGGAGATGAAGAGGTTAAAATTCAGATGTGCAGGATAAGGGAAATTAAGGATATAACATGTGTAGGAGAAGAGGGGGATATGCAAAAAAAAAAAAAAAAACTCTGTGTCAGTGATACAGAATAAATGGATCTGCAGCTGAAGATCCATTCATTCCTTCCCCATCAACAAGAACTTTATCTTTCTCCTTCCCTGTTGTAAGAGGAAGGGGAGGGATCAACATTGTAAGCAAAAGCATGTAATCGCTGTAATGATCAATTGAAGCAATCACATGCCCAGCCCCACTGTTTTAAGACCCTGGTAGAAAGGGGGTTAAGTAGGCACACTGCGACTTTATCTGGGAAAGTCTTGCTGCAAAGATTACAAATAGTGAGCTTTTGGCTATTATGAAACGTAAACAATTTACTTCCTCTGTTTAATTCTTTCCTATGATATTCAGATATATCCTAACTTTGTGACATTATTTTTTTTAAAAGTATAATATTATACACATAAACAAAGCCATGTACTGAATATTACAAGCCTTCTAATACATTGTTTTCCCATTAATATACTCAACTGCATGTAATGCTTATTAGAAAGTATTTATTTATTTTCATAATGTAACTGCAGTTGGACTGCAGCCCAGGGTTCTGTTGCTGAAGTGACTATACACAAGCATGCCAATTGGAACATGAGAGGAGCGAGCCACTGTGCTCATTTCCACATGATGTCATTAGCTCAGGTACCTGGAATGTAACATTCCACACATCTGCTTTGCATTATTAATGGATGAGTGGGAAAGGAAACCTGAAATCATTCACTATCCCTATCATTTATGTGGGAGGCACATCTATTTATTTTATTAATGCTCACTAAATACCATTTAGGGAAATACATTAGATAGCACATGGAAATGATCAAATGTCAAAACTGTCGAAAAGTGTTCAAAAGCCAACACATACTATCAAACTACTACCAAACACTATGAAAAGAAGAAAAGAAAAAAAACACATATCAAAATGTAAATACAATTTAACAAAATATACCATTCATGAGAATGAACCATCCCTATATAATGACTGATAGTAGTGTAACAACTGTACTGTCAGCCTTACAAGCTTTAGAGTAAAAGCAAAGCCAATATTTGTTTAAATATTTGGGACAGTATGATGATATGTTGCTTTCACTGCTGGGGAGTTTCAGCATTTGTCTTGACAATGACCACTGTCATTAGAATAGCCAGTGAGGGTAAATATGTCAATGGGGACACCTGTTCATGTAACAACTGAACAACCGTCCAAGAGAGAAATTTACTCTCACCTACTGTTATGTCCAGGAGACAGGAGGTGAAGGAAGATCTATCCAATGGGCTGAACCCCCCCCCCCCCCCAAAAAAAAAAACCCAGGGTTTTAACCCATCTTACTAAAAAAGTTTGGGCTTCAGATATACTTGGTGGACATTTCTCCAAAGCCTTATAGCTATCCAATATTGCAAAGTAAAATCTTAAACTAAACTAAGTTTCATTTAGCAAAATTTATTTTAGGTTCCACATAAAATTTAATTAGATTTGGGCTTCATTGTTTTGATTTAATACATATTTGCTTTTCTGTTCATTTCACTTTATGGTAGGATCAAAATTCTAATCTTTTTTTTATTACACTTCAATTGATCAATTTTTATCTGCATGCTGCAAAATAAATGAACTTAATACATATTCGGCATACCACAATGTTTTAATCCCACAGAAAAATATGGAATTATTTTTGAACCAAACATCAACCTTTTTTGTTCCTTATTGGGCTGATTACAAAGAGATTGAAATTTACTACTAATTCTCACAGCTTGATTTTTTATATAGAATTATACAAGCACCTTTTGAACCTTCATGGGTTAAAACAAAAAAGATAAACAAAGCAAACAGTGATACTGTATTATTTAAGGCACTCACTCAGAACTATGATGTTGTAAGCAGTCAATGATGAATTGACAAAGGGCTGCTAACTTTAAACATTATTGTAGCAGCAGAACAAGTGTTGTATGGTAGAATGGGTAAACCAGATGGGATGGTAGTTCTTACCTTGAGGTTCTGCTGCTCGTCAAGAGCCCAAACACTCAGTGTTTTTTCAGAGGATCCCGATACCCCTTGGAATTCATGAAGTCAAAGTCAAGGCTCATAATAGGTTCCTTGTGGCACATAATTCTGCTCATTAATTTTTGTTCAAGGACATTCCAGAGGACAACAGAACCATCTTCATATCCAACAATCAACAAGGGACTGGACCCTGACTTGGGCTATTGAACAAATAAAAACAAAAATGAATGAAGAGTATAAAGTAGTACAAAGAAATGGAAGTGCACCTCCAAACAGATAAACTGAAAAGGTTAAAGCTGAAGTCTTTCAGACAACTATTAAAAACATTGTGTTAGGTTTGTCTTGTTTTCCCCAGTCAGCTGGTGTACCAGAATATGCCTTGCTGTGTCTAAGGATTCTCCAGTCTGGCCCATGCTCCTCACCCTTGGCTATCGGTGTAAAGCAAGTCAGTATGGCGATGCATGCTAGTGGAGGAAGCTAAGAACTGTGTTCTCTGGCTGTTCCCTCTTTTAAAAAATATGTCCATTGACTGAAGCAAGGAAAATAGGAAGTTTCATTGGCAGTACTGTTTTCAGTCAGGAATCTCTTACAATCATATAAAGAACATCCATATCATTAGCTAGCTGAAAATGCTGATGAGATAAGTATTCTGGGAAACCACAGTGGCATCACAAACAAGAACTGCTGCTACATCTTTTCTTGTGACACACATTTTGAAAAAATAATGAGACCACTCTTTAAATAGTTTATATGTTTATCTTAATCAAGTCATATCTACTGCTCAATGGTGAAATAAACTCTGTTTGTTTATCCTGGTATTAAGCTTACAAAATATCCCATTGCTTGCTTCAGAAACACCATCAAGCATATAAAACACAATTATCCATTGTTACCTAAAACAAGAATAATGTGAATAGATATTTCACTAAAAAGTATCTCACTATTTCTGATGTTTGCTATAATTATTCCAATGTGTCTACTGAGACAATTCTTAAGATGAACTTAGAATTAATAGCGACTGTGTTTTGCAAAAATAAGTATGGCGATCCTTTCTTCAAAATAAATACTTCTATTGAGGGGTAAACATAGTCTTGGTCACTACTGTAACCAATAAGATATCATGTGATTAATGATGCCAAAGGTCAAAGGCCATGACATGATGACCAGACACCTCATTTATTTTAGCCTCTGAAATAACTCAAAGGAGATGGAACCTTGGTGGATAGTGTGTCACATTTCAGAGAAAAGGATTCATCATCTCACCAGAGTGAATTATAATAACCAGTCAGACAGGAACTGGTCAAGCCAGGATAAATATCCCTAGGGAACGTCAGGTTTAAACCCTCAATCTGTTGTACTATAACTGTCATACACTCAGCAGAGCTATAGAATGAATTGGATAGAGTGATGTATTCAGAGAAATTGCACTGTCATTTATTTAACTTACATGATGATTTTTCATTCACAACTGGTCAAGTGCCACAATGTCTAAATGGCAACAACTTGATAGTGTAATACAAAGGACAAAGATTGTGATATCAAAACAAGGTGAAGAAAAGCAGAACACAATATTGTACTTTTCCAGATGACTTATTAAAAACGGTGGTATACTATGTATACTGATACATGGAGAAGAAGACCCTTTGAGGAGACTACTTTGTAAAAAAAAAAAAACGTGTGTTCCCCTTTCTACATCTGACTGTTCTTGTTTTCAGCATTAGTTGGTATTTTTTTTTTTTTTTCATATTTGTGTGTATTCTGCACTATAGAGTTTTTATCGTTCTGTATTCAAACAAATTTGCTGAGAGGTTGAGAAGCAAAAATAAATAAATAAATAGATTGACGATTCTCTGGGCTTTAATGCAAGGAGTATGCAGGTAGGAGAAGAAAGCAGAATGGCAGAGATATAGAGATGATGGGAGGGTGACTGTAAGTGAAAATTAAACTGCAGCAGAGGAAGATCTGGTCCCCTCCCCGCTGTGGTGAAGAGCTGCGTAGAGTTCATCTTTAACTATAAACACCCATGCACCATCTCAGGTTTCACCTATCTTTTAGGCCTGGTTCACACAAGTGCGATTTCTGATGTGACTTGAGCTACACAGAATCACTTGACAATGGAAATTACATTCTCAGTGGTGCCCGTTCACATCAATGCAGCACATCAAGATGCGCTTTTAAAAAGGCTCCTATGCTACTTTGATGCAATTGCAGCGTGATGTTGGTCCCATAGACCTCAATGGAAACATACCAAAAACTCATTAACATGCTTTTTTTTACATGTTTATATGTTTTTAGGGTCCTTAACAACCAGCATTCAGTCTCCTTCACCATCTGAAAATGCAATAATATCAAAGAATGCAACAAAATGACACTACATAATTGCACTGAAAAATCTGATCAAATTAAAACTGCACTAGTGTGAATCTAGCCCAGCCTTTTTCAACCAAGGTGCTTCAGGTTTTTTCAGGGGTGCCTTGGCAAAATGCCTATAAATTACCCAAACATTGTATTTAAGCCAGCAGATGGACGAAGCCTTCCTTTTGGTTACACTAAGCCACAGGATTTCATCTTACATCATTACAAATTTCTAGCCACAAGCGTCCTAACAGCCAGTGATCAGTTGACAAGAAGGATGTTGGACCCCTATACAGTATCCTTGTTTGCCCTTCCCTTGCCCCTCTCCATCAGCACTGGCGTCACATTAGCTGATTGAGGGAGAGAAAAGCTGGAATACTAGTCAGTACCAGTGTGCAAAGGTGTATTTGCTTTGGAAGAATGAATTACCTCTAATGTTGTGTCCTACATGTGTCTAGGTTGCTGTTTTATGTAAAACTATTCATTTAGTTTTTTACATTTTAAAATGGGGTGCCTTGAGATTGTGTATAATTTTAAAGGGTGCTTTGACTAAAAATAGGTTTAGTAACACTGATCTAGCCTTAATCCCTAATACTTTACCTTCCCCTTAAAATTAAACATTTAAAGCTGATCTCCACCTTTTGATATACTTTACATAGTTTGTTTTGGCCAGCTTGGCCCAAATGAACTACGTCCCTCAATGACCCGTGAGGCCTCTGGATGTGCAGTATAAACTGTATGTAGCTGTGGCTACATACAGCATATCGCACTGTGTTCTGGGTGTGAGCCAAAACTTCCAGTCTCAGACCCAAAACACAGCAGAGTCTATCACAACGGTGCTCAGCCATTCAGAGTAAGCAATGTATGCTAGTGAACTCATGTGGGTTTGCTCCCAAGCCACAATGTTTGCATCTATTGATACAGCTCAGCCTCTTCCCTTGCTTTCTCCTCCCAGGCTGTGATTGACAGCAGCAGGAGTCAATGGCTTCCGCTGCTTCTGAGCCTCCTCTAAAAGATGTGCACGAGAGCCTTGGCTCTCAGGGGACTTTACTTTCTCATTGGCTGGAACAACAGTGGGAGCCATTGGCAGAGCAAGCCTGCTTGGGTGCCCTCAGAGCAAGCTGCTTGCTCTGGGGGCATCCTGCAGGATAGAGGGGCAAGGAGCACCGGCAGGAAACCCGAGAAGAGGAGGATCGGGTCTGCTCTGTGCAAATCCACTGTACAGAGCAGGTAAGTATGACATATTTGTTATTTTAAAGAAAAATAATTTCCTTTAATATGTTCACATCCTTTCAAAGGATGTCTTAGGGCTTGTTCACCCAGGATGTGTTAGGGCTACACTGGCAGTTATTTCAAGAGCAGCCCCAAGTCACAGACAAGGCAAAATACATTGTTTACTATGGTTACATAGTTAGTCTGGCCGAAAAAGTCCATCCAGTTCAACCAATAGAAAGTAAAAAAATGTATACAAACCTATACTCACAGTTGATCCAAAGGGAGGCAAAAAAAACAGTAAAGCATGATCCAATTTGCTCCTGCAGGGGAAAAAATTCCTTCCTGATCACCCAAGAGGCAATCGGATATTCCCTGGACAAACCTTACCCATGAATGTTAGTATCCAGTTATGTTATGTGTATTTACAACAGAATCCAAGTCTTTTTATAACGTAATCTACTGAGCTGGTCAGAACCAGTTCTTGAGGGAGTCTATTCCACCTTTTTACAGCTATCACTGTGAAAAAACCTTTATCTATTTGAAGATTAACCACTTCCCGACCGGCCGTTGTATATAAACGGCCGGACGGTGGCACTGCAGGGTTGGGTGGCCGTCTATAAACGGCCTCCCCGCACCCTGCTTGTGCGCGCTCCCTGGGAGCGCGCAGCACCGCGATCCGGTGCCCGCTGTGTCCTCCGGACACAGTGAAACACCGATCGTCGGGCGGGACCTCTGTACGAGGTCCCGATCATGTGATCACTGATTGGCCAATCAGTGATCACATGCAAAGTAGTAAGGAAGATGTCACTTCTGACATCATTGCTTACTATGTGTGAAATCTGTGAATGAGCACAGAGGTCACATGGTACAAGGCTATTCACAAAAGCCTTGTACCATGTGACAAGCTGTGACCAATCACAGCTCACTCAGTTCTTCTCAATGAGTGCAAGAATGCACACAGAGAGAAAGAGAAATGATTGCTTTTACATCCTATCAGTGTAAAAAAATAAAATAAAAATCTTCATCACCCCTCACAAGTAGTACAGTGTCACCATGGTGACACTGTACTGCTAGGGTGACAGTATGTAAAAAAATAAATAAATAAATAAAAAAAAATAATAATATAAAAAAATAAAATAAAAATGTAAAAAAAATGTTTAAAAATTATAATTTTTTGCTTATAAACTAATTTGGATTTTTTTTTTTTTTACTAAAAAGATAAACGGAATAAATTTTGGCTAAGATTTATGATGAAATATTATTTATTTGCAAAATTTTATTAAAAAAACACTTTTTTTCAAAATTTTTGGACATTTCATTTACATAGCAAAAAAAATACAAATCCCAGTGGTGAATAAATACCACCAAAATAAAGCTTTATCTATCTCAAAAAAATGGTAAAAAATTCATTTGGGTACAGTGTTGCATGACCGCGCAATTGTCATTCAAAGTGTGATAGCGCTAAAAGCTGAAAATTGCCCTGGTCAGGAAGGGGGTAAAAGTGTACGGTCTGGAAGTGGTTAAAGCTTTTCCTCCAGACTTAAAGAGTACCCCATTGTCCTTTGTGATGACCTTAAAGTATGTATTTATACATGTTGATCATATAATTTTGTAAAGCGCTGCGCAAACT